TATATATATATATATATATATATATATATATATACTATATACTATATATATATATATATATATATATATATATATATATATATATATATATATATACACTAACCCTCTCCCAAGCTGGCCGCTTGTACTTTAGTTCCTCCCAGAAGTCCTTGCGGAGATTATGCTCCCTGTACGGGCTCATGTGACACACGAGCGTAATAAAACCTGGTGCATACATCGGTTCATGCCCGTGCCGCAGGAAATCCCCTTCCTGGGATAGATCACCATCGGATCTGCTGAGAGCAGCGGAACCATCTTCTTGAACTACCTTGCTTCCGGAGTATACGGGCAAACCATCGGTCACCGTGGGCTTGTCCCATTTTATCCGCGTTACTACCTTACCCAAATCCGATCACTTCGGGTTGAAGCACCATCGCGGGCCCGTCCAGGTCCTTAAGGCAAACACACCCCCTGCCACCGTCGGCTGGTAATACGGCTTCATCCGATAATTAGCAGGGTGGGCAAACCCTTCAGCATCAAGTGGCCCGAACCGATCATCAATCTTGTTAAACAAAGCCTCATTCACCGAGTCAGACTCCGTCTCTGGCTTTACTACCAGGCTAGTCCACATAACCCTGTCCTCCGCTGGCAAACGCCTGGCCTGCACGATGGGGTTAATATGATACCTCAGCCTAGACTGTACGTCCGCAACTGGGTTCAACGCCCCTGGGAGTTGTTCCAAGACAATGTCAAAGTCTCTCAATACCTGTGCATAGCGCGTCATCCTCCGGCCCCTCACTGACGATTCGTACGACGTCGGGTCCTGCGTGAGCATTCGTACCAAAGGCTCGTGATATGTAAACACCGTCAAAGAGTGACGAGAACGCTTCACTATCCTCCACGCCTTATGCAAACAGTAGACTATCGCCAACGCCTCCTTGTCCGTAATGTGGAAACCAGCTGTGCCGGACTAAACTTGGAGGACCAAAAACCTACAGGACACAGCTTGCTCTCACGGCGGGCAAACAACTCCCCACCTACTCCTACCAAATCACAGGCGTCACAGTACAACTTCAATTAGTCGTCAAAGCCTGGTTCCACTAACACCCCTCTCTTAGCCACCTCTTCTCGAATATGATCAGACGCCTCCTGCTGCGCTCGACCCCAGACAAAAGGCACGTCCTTCTTGATAAGGTTCGAGATGGGTGCCATGATCCTGGAGTAGTTGGGTATGTACTGACTCCAATAACCAATCGTATGGTACCAAGAAGCCAAAAGATCCTTGTCAGTAGGCGGCGTCATGCGAAGGATAGACTCCATACGATCCTCACTAATGTAGGATCCATTCTCAGCCATGCGACCTAAGACCAACACCGAGCGATCCGAGAACCCAAAGCGACACTTCTTCAAGTTCAGCTTGGCATTATGCTTGATGCATGCGCAATCAAAGCCTTAATGTTCTTCCATTGCTCACGCACACTGTTGTGACCAGCACCCATATCGTCTATGTACGTCTTAAGACCGTCAACACTTTGAAAGGCATGCTCCATACGAGCTGAATCTAGGGCGCTGGCTTAATGCCAAAAGGCATGCCCACAAACGTGTGCTTGCCCACGGCGTCCAGAACGTCAGCATGTGCTGAGAGTCTTCAGCCACCATCTGCTGACAAAATCCTTGACCCAATTCAACCATGGTCCGACACTTCGTCCCCCGGACCGCCGATAAGAACTCCTGCTCCGTAGGTACCGGATACTCTTCACACTCAAGTGTGCCATTCAACTTCTTATAGTTGATGCAGCACCGCCAATCATGCACTGACAGCGGTACCACCCCCGGAGTTTTAAATACCAAATGAGGCATAGCACAGTAACATCTGGCTTCCGCTGCCGATATCTCACGGGTAACCCCCCCCATGATCCCAGTCGCCCACTTTTGTACCCAGCACCGAGGTGAAAGTCGGATCCGTGTTTGGGTACACACTATACGAAGGTTGAGCTCCTTCTTTCAGCTTGAACTCCACACCATTCTTGAAGCGGATATCATTATAAACCATAAACGTGGGCGCAGCAGTGCTGTACGCAACTGACTGGATAGCAGCAATCATGTCGTCCAGCTCCTTCGTCAATAAGCCATACTTCTTATGAAGCTCGCGGAGTTGCGACTGATCAAAATCTAAGTAGGCCTTCGAATCTACTTCCTGCACCGGAGAAGAAGTCGTCGCAACTATTGGCAAATCCACTTCTGCCAACAGGCCATGCAGGCGTGGTAACACATACTCTTCAGCATCATCAAGCTCTGCAGCGTTCATTGGGTACTCTACTTTCTTCTGCGTCTTGATGAAATATGCCTGCATAAACGACACATAGTTCCGACGCTCCTGCTCCTTAAATTCATTGCGTAGCACTGCCTACAGACCCAAGCGAATACGAATGATGTCTAGCCGCAAATACTGCGGCACTGGATCAGCAATATTGCGTCGCTTAGAACTGGCATCGCTCCGCCTAGTACGCACCCGTTTTTCCCGCGGGTCAAGCACTGTAGGCCGTTCCTCCTCAGCAATCAGGAAGTCCATCACCTCCGTCTGCGGTACAGTCCACATGAGTGCCAACTTATCCTTCCGACTGATAACCTAACAGAACATCTGTGTCGAAAGGGAGGGAGTCTACAACTAAGATATTCTTGAGACCTTGTTGCTGAGCGAAGAATTCTGTAACAAGACTCGGAGTAGCCCCCGTGTCCACGTACACCTCTACGTCCTCCGCACCATTCGCCCCCTGAATCACACTGCCCGATTGAGCTTTCTCCGTCAACATCGTACCAACTGCCCGAGCTAGTCACTTCTGCTTCTGCGGGCAGAACTTCTTGAAGTGACACTTCTACTTGCAGTTATGACAACGAACCAACTTATGATAAGCTGCTCTAGCCTCCACCAGATCCTCATCACCCGAGAGATCCAGTCCAGACTCATCTGATGCTTGACGTGGACGCTTCTCGCCCTTACCTTTCTGACCATGCTTGTTCTTCGGTGCCTTGTCTTTCGGTTTCTTGTTGCGCTGAATGTACCTACACAGGTCCTGCTTCTAAGTTGCAATATGTGATCGCAAGTCGTTAAGCCCCGCTACCGTACCTGACATCTTATAGTGGCTTCCAAATGAATCTGCTTTGGCCGGTGCTGCTGACGTCATCAGCCGATCAACACCCATGTTCACATTCTCCAACACCACCAGGACTTTGGTCAGCCCTTTCAAGCGATAAACATGCCGCACATTATCACCTAGCACTCGGTCATTGACAAACGATCTGGCCAAGAGTAAATCCATACCGTCATGTATTGACCTCATTATCGCATTCACTGCCTCGGCGTACATCGGCTCCATTGACAAGAGCCCAATAAAACATGAGGCATGCTAGCTCTGAAAACACTTCAAATCCATGATTAGCGATGACGCCTCCTCTAGTAATCAGCCGAGCGAAAATTGTCAGATTGTTCCTTATCTTCTCAGTAGCCTCCTGCACAGGCTCAAATACGATCTGGCGTTGACGCGTGGCTAATCTCCTCTTGAGCTTGACCATTAAGCGCTTCGCCACTTGTCGTTTCATCTGACCATCCTCATCCTCGAGCTCCAACGTATATACTTCATCTGACTGCGGCAATGCGCCTCCTGCATCACAATAAGCCAACAAACGAAACAAATGGTGTGCGAGCACAGCCCACATTTCATATGTCTGCAAGTTCTGCAATACGCTAACCACCAACCATGGCTCATCGACATATTTTCCCGCTAAACGGTCATCCGTCAGCAACATTTCCTTCCTTGGTGAAACAAATTGTGTGCGAGCACAACCCACATTCCATAAGTCAGCAAGTTCTTAGAAACCTATGGTCGGTTGAGCCATCTCGCTACCGAAGTTTTCAGATATAGATAGATTTGGAATGTAGATATAGTTCTATTAATAGAATTAGATTAAATCATATGTTCAGTATTTTACTGGGGTTTTTTAATGGCCTTGTCCAAATATCTGATATGTAAAATGGAAAAGGTATTAATTAATAAAACTGTTAAAAACCATTTAGGAAACTTAAGTTCCTCGTACTATTAAGAGTACGTTTATAGTTTACGTACTGCGCAAGAGTACGTTCATAACATGGAGTCTAATGTGGAGGCCCGGCTATTGCACAGCCCCCACCCAGCTTTGGACCCAGGAGAAGCAAGTTGTTCACTCGAGCTGATTATGGGTC